CTTAACACTGCCCCATTTCCCCCCCCCCCCCAAAAAAAAAATATCACCACTTAGAGGAGAATATATTCTGTCATTTAAATCTAATCTCAAATTAACTCTTTTTGTGCCTTGGGCCAACTTAGATGGTAAACAAAAGCTACTATATATAGGTGGTTGTATGCTTTATCAAAATCAATAACATTGATTCAGTTAAAGTAACTCTTTCTATGATGATGAGATTCTGGACTTCTATCCTCTCAAATATTTCATTCATATTTCTTGAACGTCTATTGTAGACATTTTCTGTCCAACTATTTGATTCTTATTTCTAATGTGTGGAAGTCACTAGCTGTTTCTATAAGTTTGTAAACATTGATTTGTACATTTGCAGGAGATAGTTTCTATCTACCCTGTTTTGTCACCGCCAAACCTGACTCTTGCACAATCCAATAGAGTTTGTAATGTACTAGCACTTCTTCAGGTATATTAAATTATTTTCCTTGTGGACTTTTTCTCAGTGATTTGTGATTCTTGATACTTCTTCTATTATTCATTCTTGTTGGTGATCTTAAAGTAATGAGTTATTGTCAAGAGAGGTATAGAAAACTGGATATGTTTGGGGTTGTGTTATATGTATCAAGAGAGGTGGATGGTGAATGCAACAGACTAGAAGGTGTTGAAATTTCTATGTTTTTTTTTCCTTGTAAAAGAAAAAAACTTGTTCGTACTGAAATTGTTTTAAGTTTCATTTCTTTCTTGGAGCATGGCAAGTATTACTTCCAAATGTCTGATGTTATCATAGTATAAGAGCTTTAAGATGTAATTGTATTCCCACTCTGCCTTTGTTTGTTTAGTTCTTTTGCTGGTCAAGGTCAAATCTTCTGTCCTTCCTATTTAAATAGTTTTCCATTGCTTTCTATTTTGCAGTGTGTTGCCTCTCACCCTGACACCAGATTGTTGTTATTCAATGGTGAAGATTCTCTTCCTTTTTTTAAAAGTTCTCTTATCTGTTTGGCAATGACAATAAGCTTGGCCTTTTTTAGTCCTTTTCTGACTCTACTTTTTTGTGGAATGCCATTTAAAGCAAAAAAAATGTTGTTTATGTTGATTTGCAGTTGCTTGTGGATGCAAATTCTTTTCCATAACAATGACACAGATACAAAAATCTCAACACTCCTCATAGTTGCACCTCTTAAGTTTTATTCCCCAAGCACTTGCTTAGTATTATATTTTCACTTAAATTAAACTCTTATTTACTTGTCAAAAAGAATTCCACAGATACAAGTCAAGAATAAGATCCAAATAGTATCAAATTAATGTCACCCTGCATTCGTTTGATAAATCTTTGGAGGAGAAATGAAATTTGATTTACATATGAAGACATTATACTTTGATTCATCTTATCCACTACTTGTAGAAAAAATAAAATTATACTTGGGTTACATATCCTTGGAATGCACAACTGTCAAGTAATTATATGACCGTTCTTCCTTGGTAGTCACTAATGTCCATAAAGAGGGAAGAAACGAAGATTACAAGTTTGTGGCCTTAGGTTCATTGAAGCACTGGCTGGTGCAACACAAGAATCTTGTCTTAGATAAATACCCCAGCCCCATATTATTCATGTAAAATGCTTTGTAACCTTCAAAAACTTTTAAGCACATCTTTAATAAAAAAAGAAACAAATAAATGGACTCAATAATCAATGATATGTTCTCGAGATCTGGATAGACTTTTGTGTGATGATAACTGTAATTGTGATATTTGGTTTCCCTGACAGTTTTCTACTTTTCAGCATATATTCCTTTGTATCTGTACCCCTTTCTTAATACAACAAGCAAGTCAACACCATTTGAATATTTGAGGCTTACAAGCTTAGGTGTTATTGGTGCCCTTGTGAAGGTAACATGTCTACTGTATATCATGCGTCTTCTACTTTCATTGTTAGTATAAAGATTTTCATTCATGATCATATCTACTGGGAATGACATGAGAAGGAAACTGATTAGTTATAATTTCAGGAGCTAATGATGCTAGTAATGCTATTCATAACCTATCTTAATCAATTGTTATTCTAAAGCCTAAATGCACTTTGTTCCTTTTGGTTTTTTCTGCGCAGGTAGACAACACTGAAGTTATCAGTTTTCTTGTTTCGACAGAGATAGTTCCTCGGTGCTTGTGCACGATGGAGATGGGGAGTGAACTATCAAAAACAGTTTGTGCTTCCCCAAAACCATTTTCCAATTACATCCTCCTTCGACTTGATTAGATTTTCATGCATCTAATTTATTCATATTGACAGGTTGCAACTTTCATTGTGGAAAAAATCCTTCTAGATGATGTGGGTCTGAATTACATATGTACCACATCGGATAGGTTTTTTGAATTAGCTCAAGTTTTAGGGAATATGGTCGGTGCACTTGCTGAGCAGCCTTCATCAAGATTGCTGAAACACATAATCAGGTGCTATCTTCGTTTATCAGATGAGCCAAGGTTAGTTTTCTGTTTATCACCATCCTGGTTTTTCTTTCAGCTTGCTTATGTGTGATATATCAGAGCCCTTTTTGATCTTTCTGTTTCTGTGAGGCTAAAAGCGACGTGTATGGCTTATGGCAGGGCTTGTCAGGCACTGAAAATTTGTCTTCCCGATATGCTTAGAGATGACACCTTCAGCAGTTGTCTTCGTGTACGTAATATTGGGCAATATAAGTAGCTCCCCCTCTCCCTCCTGAATCATGAATTATTATTTTCTCGGCATCAGACCCTTGTTATTTTTTCTGACCATAACTGGTTTTGTTTCATTATGTTATCAGGAGGATCCAATAACGAGAAGGTGGCTGCAACAATTGCTCCTTAACGTTAATGGGAATCGGGTTGCTCTACAAGCTGGAGGATTTGATCGTATGCCGTGAATCATACAAATGGGACTTAAATTAAGGGTGCATTGTTAGGAATGCATTTCTGTACTCATAGGACGTGTAATTTGATGGAGTATTTAAGGTGCATGTGGAATGCATTTCTGCACTCATATTTATTTATGTAGTGCATTATGTGAATTGTTATGAAGATTTTATTAGGAGATTAAGACTATTATTGAACCTTTACTAAGCCTGTCTATTTAGGTTTTTCACTCGGTATCTAAATTCGGATTTGTGCGATTTCGAGCCTTCTGGTTAAGTATGCAAGAATACTTATCATTGTGGGTGTTTGGAATGAAAGAAAATGCTTTCCATGGAAATAATTTTTGTAGAAAATTTTCTGTTAGAAAATAAGTGGGGTTTTTATTTATTTTCTATTGTTTTGGTAAGTAAGGAAAAAAATATTATCCCAAGATACACTATGTGAGTGGGATGGGGTGGGGAGTGGTGGTTCGGGGGTTTGGATGGTTGAGTGCGGGTGGTGGGGTTGTTGGGAAGAGATAATAAATTTGCATGGATCATCACAATCTTCAAAGTAGTCAATTTCTTCAAACATCAACTAGTCTTGAGGTGATATTTGCGTAGTATTCTTCATATAGACATCATGTATCCGACTTACCCACAATACATTTTTCTTACTTGCCAATTGCCATAAGAGCTTCACAACAACAACTATGTTTCAGGGTTTGCAATTCTTAATATTCAAACCTCCATACTTCTTAGTTCTTAGGTATGCATAGGAATTGGAGGCAAGCTTTTACTTTGTCCATGTTGCACCAATACGATGTGCGATGTCATCATCAATGTCTTCACTTTCTTGAATTACAAACATTAGATACTTGAAATATCATTCTTGGGAATAAGTTGTGTGTTCAAGTGTCACATCCATGCCTTTCTCATTCATTGCATCACTGAATTTGCACTTCAAGTGATTTGGTCCTACTCAACCTGAACCTTTTAGACTCCAGAGTTTTTCTACATACCTCCAGCCTAACACTAATTCATCTGTATGTTACATTAATTAGTATTATGTCATCTGCAAACAATATATATTGAGAGATCTAATCTTAAATATGCAATGTCAATCATCCATCACCATGACAAACAAGAATGGGCTAAGAATTGAACCATTGTGCAACCCTATCTCAATTATGAAGTGCTATGAGTCTCCTCCCATCATTCTAATTGAGGTTTGACTCCATCATGTATGTCATTTATCTCTCTAATGTAAGCGACATGTACACCTCTATCCTCCATGCATTTCATAGGGCTTCCGTTGAAACTTTGGTGTAAGCCTTTTCAAAATCAATGAATATCATATGTATGTCCCTCTTTCTTTGCTAATATTTCTCTAATATTTCCTTTGCTAATCGAATTTATGACAGTGCTTTTTTCCTACTTTGGTGTAAGCCTTTTCTAAAGTAATAAATATGATTTTTTTAAAATTTTAAATATCACATTATGCATAATTATATTCAATTATTCAATTGGACCGTTCTTGACATTATGATTTTTTATATACTATTTTTCTTTTTCATTTTTATTTTAAAATGTTTTAATTGAATACACATTATTCTTCTCAAATTTATTTTATGAGATTGAATTGGAATGCAATTATTGCTGAATCTAGAAAAAAGAATTTAGGAGATGAAATCCCGATTACATTACTGCAGGCCAAAATTGGATTTGGCATAGAAAAATGAGAAAGCAAAGGAAAAGTATGGTAGCTTCAATTTGTCATCATTTTATCACATTATAATCTTTGCATTATTCTTCAAGTATAGTGTTATATTATTAGTTTATATAGTTGATTCGTAAATCACACGAGTCATAAATTATATATGGGAAATGGCACTGCAATAATATTATATAGTTATTCATTAAATGTTGATAAAAGAAGGACAACCATTCTAGCATTTAGAAGTGTAATCTAGTGATCAATCAAACAAGTTAAATCATTTTTTTAACTTATATTTTATTGGCTAAATTATCGACACCTGCTTTTAGCACTCCTAATGGACATTATGAGTGGCTGGTCATGCCTTTTGGGCTAAAGAACGCACCACAAATATTCCAAAAGAAAAATGGATAAAATATTTTCCGAAAAGGAATTTCTCATCGTCTATATAGATGATATTTTAATTTGTTCTAAAACTTATGAAGAACATTTAACACATCTGAAAGAATTTTCAGAAATTTGTTTAAAAAATGGAATTGTGTTAAGCCAGAAAAAAGCTGACATAAATAAAAATGAAATAGAATTCTTGGGAATGATTAGAAGAGAGGTATAGAAACCAACTGTTTATTTCATGATATAATTTTTACATAATACTATCTTACATACAAAATACTCACAACATAAAAAAAATATACTTTTCCCAGATGGGAGAAGTACTACTCACACTCACAAAGACTCATACTTTGATAAGGTACCTAACAATTTTCTAAGATGGTTGTTCTCTCGGAAATTGTAGTCTGCCCTCTTTGGTTTCTATACCTCTCTTCTTAAAACTCTATCTATAGTCGTAAGTGAAGGTTGCGATCTTCAGCCTCAGGGAGGAACAGTAACGAAGTAGCCGAAAGGACCGAGGTCGAAGGGCGAAATACTGTTCATGGCCTAAAGGGAGAACTACTGCGGTAGTGATAAGACTATTCATCGACAAAAGAGAAGAAAGGTATACACGCAAACTTTTTATTACATGTTATAAATTTTACTAATATACTATATTGCATATATTTTAAACTAAACATAAAAATAATATACTGAGTACCTATAGGGAATTAAAATATGAACATCTTCATGCTATTTGCATATCATGCCGAAAGGCAAAACATTAATGCTTTTGCATATTTAACCTGTTAATCAAATCCATACAATGAGATTTATTCAAATACACTTACATAGAGTAAGAGACAGGGCCTGGGGGCATAAAAAAGCCTTATTCCACATGGATAGAGCTATCAGAGAAATGGAATTAGTATACAAATATGCTAGTTTTCCTTATGAAACCTTGGTATTTTCATTAAATGAAATGAAAAGGTATAGAGCTCAAGAGTATTTTGAATATAAAAATGCTCTATCAATTTTAAAAATTTACAAAGTATTTACTGCATAAACAGTAATTAAAATTCCGCAACCCTGTTTAAGACAGCCCAAATTAATTGGTATCAGAGCCAGGTTAATATTTCATTGGGAAAAATTAATTGGTATCTTTTCGGTTTTACCCGATGATGAGCTTGTTGCTTCATTTGCTAGGCTTTTTTCCTCATTTTTTGATGTGGATGGCATATCCTTGCTTACCATCGAGATGTTTTTGGCACTAGGTGCTAGTGGGACATCTCCTGCCACTTTGTTGGGATTGATATTCCCTTTCAGATTTAAATTTTGTGGACGTGTGTCCAAATGTTCGCATAAGAGTAAAAATTCTCTCATGTTTTCAGCTTGGGTTGTACTAAGCTGATTTAATTCGGATTGTAACATCCGAGATTGTTCAGATAACTTTGATAGCTCATCTCTGATTTTAAATAGCTTTTTGCTTTTTTCATCAATGGATTGATCCATTTTCTTCATTCCTTCGTATATCCTATTTGCTAGGATTTTCGTATGATTGTCCATATTGGACGTTTCTGGAGATGAAATCTGCAAGAAAATTATCATTTCCTTTAATGTATTCTATTGAAAATGAATAGAAAGATAATAGCACCTGCCATCTATGCAATCTCCTGTACTGTGGTTCAGAAGGAAGCTTGTTAAAAATTAGTCCTGAAACTTGAGTATTATCAGTTCTAATAACAAATTGTTTTGGTAAAAGAAAAGCAGAAAATTTTCTGATTCCTCTAACAATCGCTAATAATTCCTTTCATTGGTGGAATATCTTGTTTCTGCATCATTAAAAGTACCACTTGTGTACCTGCAAATTTCATTTAAATCGGTTTGCAATAATGCTCCCCAATGATAATCAGATGCATCAGTCTGTAGAACTAGATTGTCTTTATCATCTGGTAGTCTAAGTTTAGGCAACTTAGCACATTCTTCTTTTAGACTTTTGATACACTGTGTGTGTTCTTCTGTCCATCCCAGTCTATTGGACTTTCTTATTAATTTTTGCAGAATATTCCTCTTCTTAGCTAAACCCGGAATAAATTCTCCTGCGAAGTCGGGAATAAATTCTCCTGCGTAATTTAAACAACCTAGAAATCTTTGGATTTCTTGTTTTGTTGTTAATTTATCTGGAAATTCCACTATCTTTTTCGATATTGGAGTTCTATTCCATTTTTTGAGATAATCATTCCTAAGAATTCTATTTCATTTTTATTTATGTCAGCTTTTTTCTGGCTTAACACAATTCCATTTTTTAAACAAATTTCTGAAAATTCTTTCAGATGTGTTAAATGTTCTTCATAAGTTTTAGAACAAATTAAAATATCATCTATATAGACGATGAGAAATTCCTTTTCGGAAAATATTTTATCCATTTTTCTTTGGAATATTTGTGGTGCGTTCTTTAGCCCAAAAGGCATGACCAGCCACTCATAATGTCCATTAGGAGTGCTAAAAACAGTTAACTGTACTGAGTTTTCTGCTAGTTTTATTTGCCAAAATCCACTTTTACAGTCAAATTTTGAAAAATAAGTTTTTCCTATTGCAAGGTCTATTAGATTGTTTTTATTTGGGATAAAATATCCATCAAATATACAGTTTTTGTTTAGCTCTTTATAGTTTATTACCATTCGAGCTTTTCCTCTTTTTATTTCAGCATGATTTCTTACCATAAATGCTGGGCTACTATGAGGACTTTTACTCATTCTTATTAATTTTAAGTTGAGTAATTCTTTGATTTGAATTTTAAATTCTATTTTGTCGTCTTCATTGTAGAGCATGAGTTTGACTCTAATGATCATACTAGGGTCTTTTAAAGTTAAAGTTGCCCTTTCGTGGTTTTGTTCCCATTTTTCTAATGGATTTTCTCCATAAGACTTTTGTAAATTTTCTTTTATCTTTTCTAGATTAAGACATTTACAAGTGATTTTTCTTAGATTTTCTAAATATTTTCTTTTAAAATTTCCGTCATTATCCTTTTCTAAGTTATAAGGATTTTGTCTTCTCGGGACTTTTATAAATTGTCCACAAGGTGTTTTTAGACCTATCATATATAATGTTTGATGATAGTCTTGAAATTGTTGTAGAAAATCATTTCCTAATAATAAATCTGTTTCCAGTTTATCATAAGCAAATAATTTATTTATAGAAACAATTTTTGATCCTAAAATTATTTCTACCTTTTCTTTTGATTTTGATAATCTTTCTTTATCTCCTGTGATTCCTATCATAGAGATATTGCTTTTATTTAAATCCCAATCTTTTATTAAAAAAGATTTTGCTAGACTTGCTTCTGAACCATTGTCTATTTGCCAACAGGTTGTTAATTTTGTATCATAGAGTGTTATTTCTATGAAAACCGATACCTTGAAAACTGTTTCTTTAGGCATTAATTTTTTGCTATGAAACTAAACCCTAAACCCTAAACCCTAAACCCTAAATATATATATACACATACTTGGTACTTATAAGTTTTAACATTGGGAGGAGTTACATACCGGAGTAGGAAAAAAAACACCGTCATAAATTCGATTAAATCTATGTAGAATATTGTTCTGTTTCTAGGCGTGTATTTACAGCTTAATTAGGATAGTTGTATACATCGGAAGAAGCCATGAAGTACCGCCTACGAGGAACAACAAGAAGACAACAAAAATTGTGTATACCCTATGAAGAAGCACACATGCCAATCAACAATAGCTACCTCTTGGTCATCATGCATGCTTCTTTAGAGACGTTCATTTACCGCTTAATTAGAACATCTATGTACATCTGAAAAAGCGAAACACCGCCTATAAGAAAACACTTGTATAAACAACAAGGAAGCACGAAAAGACGAATATAGTCCTATGAAGAAGCACACATGATGACCAAGAAGGATATATTCGTCTTTTTCGTGCCTTTTATTCTTGTTTAGCTCATAGGCGGTGCTTCGTTGGCCTCTTTCCATGTACACATCTGTCCTAATTAAGCACTAAATACACTCCCGCAAACAAATAGCATTCTACCTAGGTTTAATCGGATTTACTTGGCCGTGCTTTTCTCCTGCTCCGGTATGTACCTCCTTCCATTGTTAAATTTGCTTCCTCTGTGTTCTATTGAGTCCTTCTACTGGTTTGATTTAGATTTCTTCTGTATGTTTCAATTTTGCTGCTGCGTCGGCTTTATCTCTTTGAACTGAACTTGAGGTAATTCAGTGGCGGATCTGTTTGTCTGTGCGAGTTACGCCTGGAAAATCTGTGTACCTTTCTTATTTTGCCTTTTTTTAATTGAAATTTGCTGTTTTATTTGTTTGTTTAATCTTCAATTTGAGTCGGACTGTGTGAATTGAGTTTCAATTGAGTATCGCCGGTGGTATGATTATCAGATTTTTTCCCCTTCCGGCAGCTCTACAGCTTTTTCCTTTTTTTTCTTGTCCGGGTTTACTTGTCAATAAACTTTGTGTTGACAACAGGATGCACTTGAATAATTTTAATTAACCCTCTATATATGCAAGCTACTGCCTTAATGAATTGGTGCGAACTAAATTTTCCACATTTGTGATGCATCATGCTTCAGCTACAACTACTTATATTATTGGAGGTTACCCTCTTTTCTCATGTTCAACTGGCTGAGGTTGGTTAGTTCAACCAGTTACTTGTTTAATTTGTTTTTTCATGCATTTGATTTCATTTCTCACTCAAATCTAACTACTTTTCCCATGGCTTCTCCTCTGTCTACTACATTTTGTTTGACCTCAATAAACTTGGGCAAAATATCAGAAACAATGATTATTTTATGAAGATACATACAATGAAACATCAAGAACCATTTTTCTCATTTCATGGCCAGTTATTACAATGCAGCTGATGACATATGAATATACCATGACTTGTTTTTGTTGTTGTTTTGCTCACAGGTGCCATTTGAGCTTGACTCACACATGATAGTGGTATGCTAACAGCAACGGTCTCGGAAATGTTGGCTGAAAAACTAATATCCATGACGGCTGAAAAAGTATATCAAATTGTCGTTTTCAAGGTATACACATATATAGCACTACAATTAAACAAGCTTCTCTCCGTACTTTCTTACATTACATATAATCCACATCAATCATTGCCAGTTGCCTATATCAACTGCCAGTTTGCTCATAAGCTTTTCAGACTTAAGCTACAAAAGCCGTTATTCCCAAAAGCTTGGCACACTGATTTTCTCATCCTGCCCTGAAAAGAACCCCTCAACAACTGCGCTCCTCAGCGAGGGAACTAAGAAGCAAAAATTCGAACCACCCACTCATACGAAGAAACAATAATTAGCATTTTACATTTTTGAACTGCTTATTCCATAATTTGTTTGTTCTCTTACAATACCACATAGGTAGCAGAAAAACCATAGTTGAGTGCGGCCAAAATTCAATCACATGGTTTGACATGTATAGCTGGATTTTGATTGCCTATACCAACGTCTTATAATCAGCCGGCTCAATGAAGTTTCTCCCTTTTTGTGTGAATGACAGGTCTATGTCTCCGGTGTAGAATGTGCAGTTGCGAGTGAATTTGTTGTTGCACTTTCTTCTGTTACAGGTCAGTTTTTTTCCCCAGGAAAGCACGGTCTCCGTGCATACTCGTTCCGCCAGAGAATTGCGCGGTGGTGACCGACGGAAATAGGTTGCGTCGCTCCCGCCGAAGGAAGAAGTTACAAACATGGCGATATCACTAAGGGCAATGGGAGAGTTATTGAAGTATTGATTTACGAACAGGAAGCTCCTAGAAAATGCTCTTACTCACTCTTCCTGTCCTAATTCAGCTTCTAATTACCAGTGACTCGCGTTCATCGGCAACGCCGCTCTCGGCTTAGCTATTTCCAGTTATTTCTTCGTGACTTACCCTGACGTTGACTGTGGTAAGCTAACTGACCTCTCCGCTGCCGATGTGAGTACGGAAAAACTTATTAGAGCTGCTGTCCGGCACGGCGAGCTGCCTCTATAAGTGCCTCAGCCGTGATTCGGCAATCCTCGATGAGAAGGTACATACGAGTATTTAACTTATATGCATCTACTTCACATTGTTGTGTAGTTTAAGTTTTGTTGTATTTTCTCCTTCCGTCCCAAAATAGTTGTGGCTTTTGGCTTTTGAGAGTCAATTTGACTAATCTTTGGAGCTAAATTGGATTGCAATAATTTGATTTTTTAAAATTGAAATTTAGATATTCCTAAGATATACATACAATACTATAAGTCGCAATTCATCTTATATCAATGTGGTGAAAAGATATGTCTTTAAATGTTGGTCAAAGTTCATATATTTCACAATCGAGAAGCGGATAGTGACAAGTATCTCGGGGGCGTTGGGAGTAACTATCAAAGTATTTATATAAGCATATAATAAAGTGTGTTTACAAGTAAACATTTCAATAAAAATTAAGACAAATCCACCTAGTGATGGTACTGGTCAGATATTGACCTCTGCCTCGTATATTAATGTTCAAAAATTGGGTAAAAAGCATAAATAACCCCTCGAGAATAGGGTGTAAAGGAATGCCCGTAATGTTAAAGCATGTAATAGGCTTTTTTGGATAAGTTTAGGTGGGTAATTTTGTGTATTTTTTTCTTCAAATATTAATTACATGAAGGAGGGGAAATGACAATTTTACCTTTTGAAATCATAAGAGGAGGGTAGACATGCCATCCCTTTTACACTTTAAGGTCTTTAAAAATGTATATATAACTAGATGAATGCTCAAAGTACAGTTTGACCATCTAAATTGTAAAAGACTCCTCCACTTTAGAGTGCAACTTTTTTTTTTTATAGAAGTAAGCAAAGCATAAAATATGAACTTGGGAGAACTCCTCCCAATTACTATATGGATTGCTCATGTAAGCAAGTTCCCAAAAATTACGAAATGTATTAATCTGAAAAGTTCTTGGTTTGGCTGGTCTAGTTCGGCAGTTGCATCTTATCCAATATGTATGTCTATTTTGTTTCCTTTTGTAAATATTCGAACTTCTAAGGCTGCACTTGTTTCAATAGTGAAGATTCCAGTTAGCCGTTGCATATGACACTTAATTTTCCTTTGGTAACAGTGTGTAATTGCGCATTTCTTGGCACCAGATTGTCAAACTGATTACAATAGTTCCTATGTGGAATTGTAATAGAGGAGACTTTGAATTTAACGTAAGTGAAGGAGTTCGTGATAATAATGCAACAGGAGGAGGAGATGGAGTTCTACGGAGGAACGATAAAAGCACCAAAAGTCCTTGCAGACATTGTGGAGTCCATAATGGGGGCTGTATATTTGGATTGTGGCTTTGATGTGAACAATGTCTAGGTGGTCAGTTTCTTTTTTACTATTTAAGTTTGTTTTGGCCAATTAATTTTATGAAAACTCTCTTTTCCTTATCCTGTCTAGTTTCTGGATTTAGAATACCAATGTATCAATCAACTATGCCTCAATCCCAGTTAGTTAGGTTGGCTATACAAATTCTCTATATCTATTACTCTAGATTTCTATTATAACTTGAAAATGTGATTATGTGGAATCAAAGAGTTGAGTCTTTCAGGCCTATTGGCTTTTAATAAGTGCTTCTAAATTACAGCCTCAACCTTAGTGTACAAGGGGTTTTAACTGTTATTTATCGAACCTGTTTTCATGTAAAGCTAGTTATGCTTGTATACTTTGCATCAAACTGACTCAAGCCATACCCCTGTTTAATGTTTGGTGACTTTTGCTGCAAGCTCAGTTATGTCTGAGTAGTCATTTTGTATGCTTGTTAATTTTTAGAGGCAAAACTTTTTTCCTCTAGTAATGTTTTTAATGTGTTATTCTACAATTGTTGAATGAAATGATTAAAAGGTATTCCTAAAACAAAATTTTCAATTGTGATTTTTTTGGTATTTTATTGGAACTCTTCTTGCTATTAAATTTTGTGCTTGTCCTAAGAATGTCACTTTTAAGCACATGTAAATTTTGGTAGCTTTTTCGGCGCAACCTTATTTATGTAATAGATTCCATGTTGGACATGGCAAGAGATTTGCACAATTTTAATTTTGACACTCTAGATTAGTGCTTCCACAAGCCTTTTATAATATTTTCACTTGTAGAAAAAGGTAATGTATGTGTGAGAGAGAGAGAGAAGGTGACCGTTTGAAATTTGAATTTCTTTTGCCTGAAGAACAATCTCATATTTGGGTTTCGTCTCATTGAAAATAAAATTGGGAAAGGAAGAAACGATGAAGTTTAGAATCTCATCATCGTAGAAAGAGTTATTTTAACTGAGCCAATATGATTGGTTCTAATAAAACATACAACCACCTATTTATAGTAGTTTTTGTTTACCATCTATGTTGGGCCCAGGCACAGAAACCATTAATTTGAGATTAGATTTAAATGACATAATAGTTTCTCCTCCTAGTGGCCATATTTTCTTTCGGGGTTAATGTCTCCTTGAAAAGTAGGCTCCATCTTTTCATTTACATACACCAACTACAAAAAAGCACATCAGAATTCTATTTTGGGATATTCCTTGTATATTTAATTCCAACTTTTACCCCAAATCATTTAATTCCATTTTTCCCCGCCTTGGATAAAGCAACCCAACATATACAATGAAATGACATAAATTGACTAGTTTCCATTATTGAAAAGACAACCTTGCAATGAGCTGAATATATATTACAACAAGGGATGCAACCTGCAACCCATGGGCCAATGTAGGACTAGCTCCCACTCCCTCCCCAGTTGGAAATTTCACCAATCTCTTTTATCATCCTAGACTCTTAAAGATGTGGAAAAAAACTAGGACTCTACAAGACATTTTTGAATTTTAACCATTTGAATTCCTCCGTAATCCCAATTGAAAGACCATTAAGATGTTTCCTTAATAACTTTGTTGTAAAAGGTCACTCAAATGCTTTCTTTTATTCCTAGCTTTTAATGGTGCAATGTGAAGCATAGGTAATGAGTTATTACTGAAGAAATGTGTGTGTGAACATACAAATGAAATACTAGAATTATCGTGTGGAGTGGTAATTTAGCTTCATGTGCATATTAGAGATGAGATAAACTCTAGAATTACGATGGAACACTGCTCAAAATACCTGTAGGAGTGCAACGATAGTACCAAATTAGTGCCACAACAAGGGGGCCAAGTGTGGGAAAAGTTACTTGTTTTGGAAAAGGAAAACAAAGGCAATAAGTATATTTAGGTAACTCTTAATTCTATTTAGCAGAATAACAAAATGGTACTCAATCCAAAATGTCAAAGTAAACCTCTTAAGTGAGAAGAATTAAAACCTTGAAAATCTCTAGAAGAGCATTTTCATGAAGATTAGGGTTGCAAAGAACAAACAGGAAGAACAACAAAATGATACTCAAACCAAAATGTCAAAGTAAACCTCCTAAGTGAGAAAAATAAACCTTGAAAAGCTCCAGCAGAGCGTTCTCACGAAGATTAAGGTCACAGAGAACAAGCACAAGTTGTTCAACGAATTGCATTTTGCGATCCTTATTGGGCGGTGCTCCGGCGCTGAAAGATGATGATGACATACCACCTCCTCCTCCTCCGAAGTTGCCGACACCGATGGAGAAAGATTGACGTAAGTTTGCCATTCTAAAGCTTCAATTGAATGTTTTTATCTTTTTCGTCCTTTCGATTATCCTACTTTATTTTCTCTCATTTTTCTTTTGCTTCTGAACTGAACAAAGACAGAATTCACTGTGAATTTTATCTTTGTTTAGTTCGGGCAAAAAAAAAAAGAGAGAAAATAAAGTATGGTTAGTGAAAGGACAAAAAAGATAAAACATTCAATTGAGGCTTTAGAATGGCAAACCTACCTCAATCTTTCTCCATCGGTGTCGGCAGCTTCGGAGGAGGAGCTGGTATGCCGTCATCGTCTTCCAGTGCCGGAGCACCCCCCAATAAGGATCGCAAAATGCAATTCGTTGAACAACTTGTGCTTGTTCTCTGTGACCTTAATCTTCGTGAGAACGCTCTGCTGGAGCTTTTCAAGGTTTATTTTTCTCACTTAGGAGGTTTACTTTGACATTTTGGTTTGAGTATCATTTTGTTGTTCTTCTAAATAGAATTAAGATTTACCTAGATATATTTATTACCTTTGTTTTCCTTTTGACAGAAGGAGTTGTTCCCGGATTTGGCCCCCTTGTTGTGACACTCATTTGGTACTATCGATGCACTCCTACAAGTATTTTGAGTAGTGTTCCATGGTAATTCTAGAATTTATCTCAGATGCACATGAAGCCAAAGTACCACTCTGCACCATTAAAAGGAAGCATCTAAATGACATTTTACAACAAAGCTATCAAGAATTTTTTTTAATGCTTTTCAATTGGAGTTACTGTGAATTGAAAATGTCCTGTAGAGTCCTAGCTTTTACCCCCTTAATATCTTGTAGATTCTTAGGATGATTAAATAGGTTTGTAAAATTTCTGGCTAGGGAGGGAGTGGGAGCCTGTCCCACATTGGCCCATGGGGTACTTCCCTTGTTGTATTTTGTACTCGGCTCATTGCAAGGTTGTATTTCCAATAATGAAAACTAGACAATATGTTATTTTCATTGTTTATGTTGGATTGCTTTATCATTGTCTGGAATAAAATGATTTGGAAACAAAAATACAGGGAAAATCTCAAAATAGAATTTCGATTTGCTTTTCTGTATTTGTTTTGATGTAGATGGAGCCAAAACCCCACTTCGAGGAGACATTGATTAACCCAAAAAAGGAAAGTATCAACTTTAGGAGGAGAAATTTTTCTATCATTTAAATCTAATTTCAATTTAATTGCTTTTGTGTCTTAGCCCAGCTTAGATGGTAAGCAGAAGCTACTATATCATATATGTAGGTAGTTGTATGCTTTGTTAGAACCAATATTACTGGTTCATTAAAAAAAGCATACAATTTGAATATACAAATGTATCTATATAAATGTATGATACGTTAAATTGAAATTGTAAAACACAAATATTTGTGAAACACAGATACAAATACAAAGAGAGTGAATGAAGTAGTGATTTAAGAACAGGAAGCTCCTAGAAGAAGCTCTTACTCAATCTTCCTGTCCTAATTCAGCTTCTAATTACCAGCGACTCGCGTTCATCTGCAACGCCGCTCTCGGTTTAGCTATTTCTTCGTGACTTAACCTGACGTTGACTGTGGTAAGCTAACTGACCTGTCTGCTGCCGATGTGAGTACGGAAAAACTTGTTAGAGTTGCTGTCCGGCACAGACTCTACAAGTGCCTTAGCCGTGATTCAGCAATCCTCGATGAAAAGGTACATACTAGTATCTAACTTATATGCATCTACTTCACATTGTTGTGTAGTTTAAGTTTTGTTGTATTTTCTCCTTCCGTCCCAAATTAGTTGTGGCTTTTGGCTTTTTGAGAGTCAATTTGACTAATCTTTGGAGCTAAATTGGATTGGAATAGTTTAATTTTTTTAAATTGAAATTTGGATATTCATAAGATATACATACAATACTATAAGTTGCAATTCATCTTATATCAATGTGGTGAAAAGATATATCTTTCAATGTTGGTCAAAGTTCATATATTTCACAATCGAGAAGCGGATAGTGACAAGTATTTCGAGGGCGTTGGAAGTAACTATCAAAGTATCTATATAAGCATATAATTGACAGTGTATACAAGTAAATATTTCAATAAAAATTAAGACAATACCACCTAGTGATGGCACTGGTCAGATATTGACCTCTGCCTCGTATATTAATGTTCAAAAATTGGGTAAAAAGCATAAATATCCCCTCGAGAATAGGGTGTAAAGGAATGCCCTTAAAGTTAAAGCATGCAATAGGCTTTTTTGGAGAAGTTTAGGAGGGTAATTTTGTGTATTTTTTTTTTTCAAATATTAGTTACATGAAGAAATTGAAATGACAATTTTACCTTTTGAAATCATAAGAGGAGGGTAGACATGCCACCCTTTTACACTTTAAGGTCTTTTAAAATGTATATATAACTAGATGAATGCTCAAAGTACAGTTTGACCATCTAAATTGTAAAAGACTCCTCCACTTTAGAGTGCAACTTTTTTTATAGAAGTAAGCAAAGCATAAAGTATGAACTTGGGAGAACTCCTCCCAATTACTATATGGATTGCTCATATAAGCAAGTTCCCAAAAATTACGAAATGTATTAATCTAAAAAGTTCTTTGGTTTGGCTAGTCTAGTTCGGCAGTTGCATCTTATCCAATATGAGTGTCCATTTTGTTTCCATTTGTAAGTCTTCGAACTTCTAAGAGCTGTACTTGTTTCAAATAGTGAAGATTCCAGTTAGCCATTGCATATGACACTTAATTTTCCTTTGGTAACAGTGTGTAATTGCGCATTTCATTGGCACTAGATTGTCAAACTGATTACAATAGTTCCTATGTGGAATTGTAATAGAGGAGACTTTGAATTTGACGTAAGTGAAGGAGCTTGTGATAACAGTGCAACAGGAGGAGGAGATGGAGTTCTACGGAGGAACGATAAAAGCACCAAAGCTCCTTGCAGACATTGTGGAATCCATAATGGGGGCTGTATATTTGGATTGTGGCTTTGATGTGAATGATGTCTGGTGGTCAGTTTCTTTTTACTATTTAAGTTTGTTCGGGCCAATGATCTCATGAAAACTCTCTTTTCTTTATCCTTTCTGGATTTCGAGTACCAATGTATCAATCAACTATGCCTCAATCCCCAATTAGTTAGGTTGGCTATACGAATTCTCTATATCTATTCCTCTAGATTTCTATTATAACTTGAAAATGTGATTATGTGGAATCAAAGAGTTGAGTCTCGCAGGCCTATTGGCTTTTAGTAATTGCTTCTAATTTACAACGTCAACCTTAGTGTACAAGGTGTTTTAACTGTTATTTATCAAACCTGTTTTCATGTAAAGCTAGTTATGCTTGTATACTTTGCATCAAACTGACTGAAGCAATACTACTGTTTAATGTTTGGTGACTTTTGCTGCAAGCTCGGTGATGTCTGAGTCATTATGTATGCTTGTTAATTTTTAGAAGCAAAACTTTTTATTCCTCTAGTAATGTTTTTAACGTGGTATTCTCCAATTGTTGAATGAAATGAATAAAAGGTATTCCTAAAACAAAATTTTCAATTGTGATTTTTTTGGTATTTTATTGAAACTCTTCTTGCAATTAAATTTTGTGCTTGTCCTAAGAGTGTCACTTTTAAGCACATGTAATTTTTGCCATCTTTTTCGGCGCAACCTTATTTATGTAATAGATTCCATGTTGGACATGGTTAGAGATTTGCACAATTTTAATTTGGACTCTCTAGATTAGTGTTTCCACATTCCTTCTATAATATCTGCCCTTGTAGATAAAGGTGATGTATGTGTGTGATTGAGAGGTCATCGTTTGTGATTTGACTTCCTTTTACATGAAGAACAATCTCATATTTGGATTTCGTCTCATTAAAAATAAAATTGGGAAGGGAAGAAATGATGAAGTCCAGAATCTCATCATCTTAGAAAGGGTTATTTTCACTGAACCAATCATATTGGTCCTGATAAAACATACAACCACCTATTTATAGTAGTTTTTGTTTACTATCTATGTTGGGCCAAAGCACAAAAACAATTAATTTGAGATTAGTTTTAAATGACATAATAGTTTCTTTACCTAGTGGCCGTATTTTCTTTCAGGGTTAATGTCTCCTTGAAAAGCAGGCTCCATTTGTTTCATTTACATACACCAACTACGAAAAAGCACATTGGGATTCTATTTTGGGACATTCCTTGTATATTTAATTTCAACTTTTACCCCAAATCATTTTATTCCATCTTTTCCCGCCTTGGATAAAGCAACCCAACATATACAATGAAATGACATAAATTGACTAGTTTCCATTATTGAAAAAACAACCTAGCATTGAGCTGAGTATAAATTACAACAAGGGATGCGATGTGCAACCCATGGGGCAATGTAGGACTAGCTCCCACTCCCTCCCCAGCTAGAAATTTCACAAACCTTTTTTATCATCCCAAGACTCTTTAAAGATGTGGAAAAAAAAACTAGGACTCTACAAGACATTTTGAATTTTAACTGAATTCCTCCGTAACCCCAATTGAAAGGCCATTAAGAGGTTTCCTTAATATCTTTGCTGTAAAAGGTCACTCAAATGCTTTCTTTTATTCGTAGCTTTTAAAGGTGCAGTGTGACGCATTGGTAATGACTAATGAGTTATTACTGAAGAAATGTGTGTATGAACAGGCAAAAGAAATGCTAGAATTACCGTGTGTAGTGGTACTTTAGCTTCATGTGCATCTGAGAGATTAGATAAATTCTAGAATTACAATGAAACACTACTCAAAATACATGTAGGAGTGCAACGATAGTACCAAATGAGTGCCACAACAAGGGGGCTAAATTCGGGAAAAGTTCCTTCTTTTGGAAAAAGGAAAACAAAGGCAATAAGTATATGTAGGTAAATCTTAATTCTATTTAGTAGAATAACAAAATAATACTCAATCCAAAATGTCAGAGTAAACCTCTAAAGTGTGAAGAATAAAAACCTTGAAAAGCTCTTGAAGAGTGTTTTCACGAAGATTAGGGTTGTAGAGAACAAACACAAGTTGTTCAGCGGATTGCATTTTGCGATCCTTATTGGGCGGTGCTCCGGCGCCGAAAGACAATGATGACATGCCATCTCCTTCTCCGAAGCTGCCGACACCGACAGAGAAAGATTGAGGTAAGTTTGCCATTCTAAAGCCTCAGTTGAATGTTTTTATCTTTTTCAACCTTTCGCTTATCCTACTTTATTTTCTCTCATTTTTCTTTTGATTCCAAATTGAACAAAGACAAAATTCACCGTTTTATTTAGAACTGCGACACCATAAATGACCAAAGCATGCCATTCACGTGTTAATGCCATCTAGGAACATTTCATAGTAATTTTCAAGATTGATTTGATCTTTAGTTTTTTCGGAATAAAACCAGTTACACATAAGGAAGTACGACACCTTTGGAACCAGTTACACATATGGCAACACTTGTCACATCTAGAACTTTTCATAGTTTTTGGTGCAGTGTGAGAAGACAACACCAGAACTTTTGGATGCGGTAAGAATAATTAGATATGAGCTTCACTAGGGTTATATTTTAAACAAAAATAAAAAAAAACTACTACAATATATTTCACTAGATTGTATTAGATATTTTTATAATTTTAAAGAATTAGTAATTTATAATATTAGTGGGACCATATATTTATATAGGAATCTTCTAAAAATATATTATCTTAAATCGCTGATATTTTTCACTGCTCGAGTCGGGATTGGAGAAAATATTATCTTAAAGAGTTTATTAATTGATCGGATATTAATTTGAAGAGTTTTTACTATATCTACGTATTGTGTCTACAAGTGCATTGGTTTAAAGCAAGAAAAATGTTTTCAACTTTTACATTGAAAAGAACATTGAGAAACATGTGAGATAAACCTGGAGGAATGTGACGAGCAGTTTTGAGCAAATTGTTTTAAGGTGCATGAGTCCAAGCACGGGTTGGGCTACCATTAAGGCTGGCAAGGGGACGGGGACGGGGACTGGGGGACGGGACGAAGGGGGACGGGACGGGACGGGGGACGGGGCTGGGGGGATTTTGCCGGGACCGGGATTGGGGGGACAAAAATAAGTCTCATCCCGTCCCACTATATATACGGGATGGGACGGGTTTTGGGGGGACGGGATGGG